GATTTTGACAAATTCTTTTTCGGGCAGAGGTACAAAACACTTGCTTCTTGCTGTTTTGAACCTTTGGAGAAAATTTTCTGCCCATTCATTTGGCATTTGACGTAGATTCGCCAAATCAGCCAAAGTGACTTCGGATTCAGTTTTGTAAAACTGAGCATGAAACAACTGTTCCAGTTGTTGCCATGTTTGAACAGAGTTCGCTGGCAAGTTAATGAACCAGGAGAAAGCTACTCCTGTTAACGAACTAGGGAAAAGTCTCATTTTCTGGTAATCGGTTACATCACCACTTTGCAACGTGAATCGCCCTATGTGTTCCAGGGTAGACACCTCTCCCAAACTAGTAAACAGTGAGAATTCTGGCACTTTGTACCCTCTAGGCCATGGATATGCTTGGTCCACCCAATCAGGATATGGTTTTGTGTACGTCGGTCTAATGACAGGACGTACCCCAAAGGCCATCTGATCCTGCACGATTTCCATAATCTGATTTCTCAACTTGACATTGGGATCATATGGAATTCCTACAGGCTGATTAACCGGTTGATTTGCATGAGGTCTGATGTTTGGTCCTTGATTGGCAACAAAATTACCATAATTAGGGCCATTACCATTAGCCTGGACATCTACCCCCTCGTTACCACGTGGAATATTCTGTCCATTGTTTAGGACATTATCTCTCACGTTTGGATTACCCCCCAAGTTAGGCATACCACTACTACTACTTTGATTTGGTATTGTAGCACCTCCTTGGTTTGAAGTAGAGGGACCAGAAAGTGGTTCTACCCCTTGACTTGGATTTGGGACCGAAGGATTATGTCCTACGATCGTCCTAGTTTGAAAGTGACTTGCAAGAGGTATAGCCGGTTGACATATGTGGCCCACTAACTTGTTCATTGTTTCATTCAACGTCTTTAGTTGTTTGGCCATATTGTCATAGTGTGCATTACCACTTTACGTCTTTAGTTGTTTGGCCATATTGTCATAGTGTGCATTACCACTTTGTGTAAATCTTTCCATATTATGAATACTTCGAAGATTTACCTGTTCAACGACATCTTGCGTGAGTTCTCCAAGCAATGCACGCATGGTTCAAGGACTCAGCTTCGTCATTGGTTCGTAACGACTGTTACTGCTCTGATTTTGTCCATCTGTTCGTGGAGAGGCATGTTGCTCCTCATATCGCTCGATTACAGACTGGATTCCTCCCTGACTTGCTCCTTCCTTGTCGGATCTCTGAGGCATATTGTTTCACCTTTTCCGCTTTCAACACCTAACACCATTGTCTCACTGGGCGTGCCAAATTGTTTCGCGCGTGTTAATTCGCTAACAATTAAAGAGGATCAGACGATTGTGTAAGGGACGAAACCTCTTGAGACAAAGTCCCAAAAAGGGGTGTTCTTTTTATTGGCGATGAACTTTACAATTGGAAATGGAAAACAACGTGCCTCCAAGGGGCGCAAGCACACGAGTTACAGAAAATGAAGTGTTTAAGTCTAAAAGCTAAAGAAATGAAAATTACATATTCTCTGTTCGAGAGTTTTGGATTCGGTCCTTTGCTTCTAAGTTCTTTCTCCCTTTTATACTTCATAGGCGATCTCTTTGTGATTAACTGCTCTAAAAAACTGCTTGATCGCCCTATAACTACCCACTTTCTTTGTAGTGGCCATTTTGTCATGAAACTGTCCTTTTAACTGCTGCCATTATCTTGCATCCTGCAACCGCTTTCGATTGAACCCCTTGAGTCGTGGAACGTGATAAGGTTACTTTAGCAACTGCCTCAATAACTGCATTTCTTGATAATCATAATGCGTTATGTTTGTTGATACCTTGGGCGACTTGAAGATTTGGGCGAGACTCTGGGCAACCGTATGCCACTCTATTCGTTCAGATTCTGAGCTACTTGCAAACTTGGGCGATGGCGTTACCGCACTATTGGGCCCCTTATTTGGGCCTTCACCTTGATTCGTTCAATTGGATTTCGTTCTTTGGGCTATCTGATTTGGGGATCCTCCAATTGGGCTTTACTCTCTGGACTGTTCGATTTGGGCTGAATTTTTATGTGTCAACAGGACGATTTGAAAAGATACTTTCCAGATGATATAACGGGAAGTAGAATCTTATTCACATCTCGGAACAAAGAATTGGGTTTCAATGATGTTGTTAATGAACTTCCTTTCCTATCAGATGCTGAATGTTGGGAATTATTAAGGTGGAAAGTGTTCCAAACAGAACCTTGCCCTCCAGAATTGCTTGGGATTGGTCAGCATATTGCCTCAAGATGTCGTGGTCTACCTCTGTCAGTCATTATGATATCTTCCATTCTTCCAAACATGCAGAAGAAAAGGGGTTCATGGAGAACAGTGGCTGGAAGTTTGAGTAGACACATAATTGACGACACAAATAATTGTCTCCACATACTGAAACTTAGTTACCAGCATTTATCAGTTCATTTGAAACCTTGTTTTCTATACTTTGGAGTGTTTAGAGAAGACAAAATAATCCCAGTACGGAAGTTGATATCTCCATGGGTTGCCGAAGGGTTTATAAACAGAGAAAACCACAGGAGCACAGAGGATGTGGCACACAATTATCTAATGGATCTAATTAATAGGGGTCTGGTACTAGTTGCTGAAGAAAGATCAAATGGTGGAGCCAAAACTTGCATGATTCATGATCTACTGCATGATTTATGCTTAAGGATAGCTAAAGAAGAAAACTTTATGGGAGGGATCGAAAAGTAAGTTCTTTGTCTCTCTTCTTTCCTCGTTCACTTTCTTCTATTTCTATATGGATTATTGATAATGTAACTATCTTTGACGGTCACACTAACGATGCTTTTGTTTCTGATGATGATTGGATGTGATTTTGTTGACTCAGCGGATATATGAAGTATAAGAAAGACAAGAGTATCTTGGAAATGCAGCGTCTTTGTTTCCCAAGACCATTTGATCCATATGTTCACTCTCAGTTAGGCCGCAGGGTCATGGATTTGTCAGGACAATATTGTTCTTGTTTTGAAGATGTAAGTGTAGGAATTGAAAACTTGGTTCACTTGAGGTACTTGGCAGTTCGACGAGAACTTAAACTGCAATTAATAGAAAAACTCCACAGACTAGAATATCTCACGTGGAGAACAGAAACAGAGTTGAAATACCTGCTTTCGTTCTTAACATGAAGAATTTGAAACATCTGAATTTTGGAGGTGGGGCATACTTCAGTGGATCTTCTCATTTAAGAGCAACTACGGATGGGAGCTTCCAAATAAATAACCTACAATCTATTTCATTACTTTTTATTTATAATGAAATGGATGCAAAAGTTTTGGGATGTGCTCCCAATCTCCTCAAATTGGGATGCAAATTCAGGACTCAATGTCCTTTCCAATTCCCCAATCAACTTGAATCGCTCAACATCAGTTTCATGAGAGATTCAGATCCCAATTTTCCCTTGAATCTCAAAAAATTGACCCTATTGAAATTTCATTTGTCGTGGGAAAAAATTCGGATGATTGGGAGATTGCCGAAATTAGAGGTTCTCAAATTACGTGTTGGTTCCTTCAAGGAAAACCAATGGGACACAGAAGAAGGTGAATTCCAAAAACTCAAATTCTTCGAGCTAAATGATGTGAAAATTGCAAGCCAGTATAAATATGCAGAATGGAATCCCACAAGTGATGATTACCCCAAACTAGAACGATTAGTGTTGCGAAAGTGCTACTGTTTGAATAAGATCCCGTCCAGTTTAGGTTATATTTTAACCTTACAGAAAATTGAGGTATATGGATGCACAGAATCTATCGCAAAATCTGCTGTGGAAATTCAGGAAGAACAACAAGAAATGGGAAATGAAGAGCTTAAAGTAGTCATCAATCGAGATTCAAGAAGAAAGTCATTACTCGAGATTCAAAGAGTAAACAGAGCATGAGTTTTGCTGGTATACTACGACTCTTTGTCTCTTTCCTTTGATCTGCTATGGCTTTGTGACTCCTTTATTGTGCATGGAATAAAAAGAAATGTCGAAAGACTATTTCATATTTTTTTTGATTTAAGATATCAACTATATTTATGAACTTGTGATGCAGCCATGAGTTATGAGAACTTGGTACAACATTCAATTGTTCACAGGTTCAAACGTTATCTTTTAGTTTATTTATGAATTATGTCTGTTAATTTAGTTTGAGAATTGTAATATCCTTCATTTTGTTGACATTTCCCTTTGAACTTCCTGAAAACTGTGTCTAAATGAAGAAACTGTGAGTCATTGTAAAGAGTTTGGATTTCTTCAGTTCTTTTGGATCCGATATCCTCCTCCTCTTTCTTTTTTTTTTTTTTTTTGGGGAATCAACCAAACCCAGTATTTGTATAGAATCAACTACATTGCAATTTTAAATCAGTTTTGAAAATACGATGGAATCAACAAGTATTTAATCAATTGATTCGGGCATATTTCCATCTTCTTTGGTTTTTATACTGTTTAAATCAATTGTGATACAGGGAATGCTAGGAAGTCTTTAGCAAACTCTTGGAAGGAACCAAATCGCACCACCTTTCCCGGAAAACCTGTGGAACGATGGCTGATTTCTCACCAATTACCTTGGTATAGACTACATGCACCCCTCCACCTTTACATACATACATACATACATACTATATATATATATATATATATATATATATATATATATATATATACACACACATACATATATATATATAAATATTACCTTTTTTTTTTGTGCCCTTTTTCTTTTTCCTCTTTTATACAATCATTAGGTGGGTTACTTTATGAGAGATGGATAGATTGTAATATTATTGAGTTCTTACTTTTCTTTTTCCTCCAATCAATGCTTGCCAAATTATTTCATCTTTCTCTCGATAAAGTTATTATGAGCTTTGTTTTGTCATTAAAAATTTAGTGCTTTAAGAGCCTGTTTGGGAGTGATTTTAAGAATTATTTTTTGATCGTTAGGAGAAAAGTGGGGCCCACTTGTGAGAGAAGAAGTCAAATATGACGGCTAGAATAGTGAAATAACGCTCAAAAAATCAATTTTTTGGAAGAAAAAATCGCTCCTAAATAGGCCCTAAATGTCCAATCTTCCTTGTCTAAATTGCTTTTTCCTTATCACCAGGACCCCAATATCCTTTTTTTCAAGTATTATCCGGTCACGTTATTTCCCACTCCCTAATTTACATTATCTTAAAAACATATTTCAATGTAGTACTTTAATTCATAAATAATAATAATAATAATCGAATTCTCCATTCTCAAAAATACTGTTTTTAATCAAGTAGGTAGACAATTATATTAAATAATCGAAATTTTCCACTAGATCGAAAAGGTTTGAATGGTAAATCTTGAGATTAGATCATAAGATAAAAAAATAAAATAAAATAAAAAATGTAGCAATACTCAATTACTCGTATCCTGATTCCACAAATTTAAATCATATTATCAAAAGCTGCTTTCACTATACAAACATTTCCAACTCAAAATAATAATAATAATAATAATAATAATAATAATAATAATAATAATAATAATAATAATAATAATATATACATCAATAACCAGCAAACAAAATTCAAAATATATGAACAGAAATATTAACTAAAAAATTACCTCTAGGTAAAGCATATCTAAAAATTAGTTCGGACGCGAAGTTCGAGAGAGAAATATAGAGCTCCTGAGATGAACGCGAGGGATGTATGGTTATTTTAGAAGGATGATGAAAATTTATAAACCAGTGGACATTTATATTATATAATGGAATTAGTCCTTGATTTATTAAGAGGAAGTTCATCTTGGTCCGTCACTTCAATTTTCATCGTGTAATTCAACTTCACATTTTTTGTAATCGTGCTCAAAGATAATGATTAATCCTACTTGAATATGGAAATCGAAACTTTTTGGTCATAAAAAAAGTTCAAATGAGTGAATTTAAGAACTTAAATTTCACTTTATGCAATCTCGACTAACGGCTCATTAAGAATTGAGAAGGTGCAGAGTTGTGCATTTTGTTGGTTATTGTGGGAAAGGATGGTTTTGGTCATAATTACGGACAAAATTATCGTATGAACCATGAAAGTAAGTAGGATGATTAAATTGTAACAAATCAAAGTTGGATAATTAAAATGAAATAAAATCATAAGTTAGTTGATTACAGAAAAATTGCCCCTCTTTGAATGAAAACTACTTAGTACGAGTTTAACATTGTGTGTTGCAATCTAACCAACTTTAGCATGTCAACTTTAGGTTTTGGCACATTAGCCTCAAAGTCATATAAATATATAACACATGATAATGAAAGGACAGTCATAGCATCAAGAGTGAACGTTGTCCCATTCGGTAATGCTGCCTGGGTCAAATAAATCCCTCTACACCAATGATTGTGTTACATGTACATAATTGTTTATATATACATGATGTGGTAAAATATCATTAAAAAAAACTCCCGACTCTCGTACCACAATTGATTTTGATAATATTTTGAAAATTAAGAGTCGCCGTCATATAAACTGCCTTAAGAAAACACATGCACTTTCATAGAATAGAGACTTGCATGCACCGATTAGTAAATATCAAATAAATTCATGACTGGCATTTAAATAATCTAACGTATTTTATACCAATTGTAGCAAAGATTGAATTACCATATAGAGACTATGCTCTAATGGGAAGTTTTGGTTCCATTCCAATTCGGTGGCTGATTTGCCTCCACCTACTATAATCAGTATCCGAGTCAAAGAATAGGTAATTAATGACAGAAAAGTCCTTAAACACTGCTTCGCAAGAAAGTTCACATTCTTTCATGGAAATTGCTGGCATGCATTTAATAATATTGCAATATCAAAATTTTTTCCTTATGACTCAGTTATGGCCGAGACATTTTAAAATAAAAAATAAAAAAACAATTGCGGGGATGCCGAATCAGAAACGAATTGATCAAACACCAACCACATGCACTTGTTAGTGGATAAAAGTGAAAAAAATGCCATTTAAGTAAATTAAATCCAACACGTAAGGAATTTAAAATGAAAGAATTAATATGTACCATTGTAAATTAACCGAAAAATAAAACAGAATCCTACAAATGTGAATATTATTTACAGAAATTAAATCAAATATGTAATCCATATTTAATTCACAGAATTCATGAAATAATAGAAGGGTAAGTTAAATGCATTTTTAATTGAATAGACACCAAATAAACTAATTTATTTTGATATTATGTAATGGATCATAAATACAAACAACAGTTAGTAAATGTATAGGTGCAAACTAATGGTCATGAAAAATTTATGCAAGCAATTTCTAATTAAGGATTGATAGTGAATTTTGTCGCATTCTTAACATGATTTTTCTTCACAAATAATCAGAATGAATAATCAAAGCCTCGATTTTCATCAAAGAGGCAGCCAAATTGTGACCTACCATCGCAATGATTACTTTCCGCCTCAAATTCATCATGACATATGGAGATTGACCTCAATAGATAATCAAAACTGGGTTAGTTACACACATTAAGGTCAATATTGTAGCTGATTTGATGTAAAGTCATGCAATTTGCCCATCTTTGTCGATAAAAAGGATTGTAATGGTCCCCCAAGAAAACAAGCTAAACGCATATCGTATATACTCCCAAATTTCTCTACTTAATACAAACACTTTATTTTTATTACAATTTCAGCTCAATTCCATTGGTTCAGCATAATTTTACTATTTCGGCTCAAATTACCTCTCACGAATCATCAATAAAGTTGATAAAATTAAGCTAGTCATTTTTTGACATCAACAAAAAATTTAAAGGAATAAATTTTCTAATATAATTTGAAAATTTAAATAATATCAACTACTTTTTTATCTCTAAAGATATAATGAGCAACTCACAGTGCAAGAAATATGATTTTTGCCGACCCAAAGACTGATCGCTAACTGTCAAATATTAGTCGGTATTTTCAATTCCCGACTACAAAATCTTGGTCGGGAGTTGATCGCCAAAAGCCAGCCAACAAAAGTTTTTACCGACCATAATACATTTTAGTTAGGAAATATATAGGTTTTTACGCAATGCAAATTAGTCGGGAAATTTTTAGGGTTTTACTTGCCAACAAGAATTTGGCTGGGAATAATAAAGATTTTTTTGACCATAATTTGGGTCGGTGAAGGTTTAAACACAAAGTCGGTAAAACATAGGTTGACTACTTTTTTTGGTCGGGAAAAATATACCTTTGCCAACCCAAAGAATTGAAGTCGGAAAAACTATACCTTTGCCGACCAAACAATTTAAGTCGGGTAAACATTGACGACCATATTAGGATGACCACAGTAGTAAACATTGAAGTAATTTTTCCCCCCAAAATTCATTAATGGAACAATTTTAGCTGAGTCAAACATGCTAATTATTTAATTCAAAATGTGCATTTTTAATCCACGTTACTCTATTGCAAGTGTCGTGAATCCAGCCATACTTTTGTGAGTCCCCATTCATGAAACACGGACTTAAAGCTTTCGGCCGAGCCACTTTTCTTTTATTATTTTATCATCTTCAAGCCTAATCTTCATTTATCATCTCTTAAATGCAAAAATAGAATCATTTACCAAAAAAGAAATTTCACTTTTTTACGGAATCCAACTAGTAAACCCATGTCCGCTGTCAATCGATTTATTGTTGACCACTTTTCCGACCTTTTCTTAGACAGTTTTTGACTTGCGCCCAATCGATTTTGGAACCAGTTCAAAATTTTTAAATTAAACAAATAAATCGGATCTGATTTTCAAAACATTATTATTACACAATAAATATATTAAATAAATATTATTAATCAATTATAACACTAAAACAAAAAGTTAAATAAACTTTTTTCCCCATTTTTTCAACTTCTAATTTAAAGGTATGAGTGATGCATAACACTATTATTGGCTAAAATGACTCGGGGCATGTTCAAGGAATTGGGGATGCGACCATGTTACTCATCCTTGTCCAATTCATCATTCGGAACCGAAAAACGCGACAGAGTTGCCATCCTTTTATGACTCAACCCATATTTTCTTTGCACAACACTGAAACGAAGTGCCAACCTTGTTAATCGTCAAGCATGGGTCAATCCTTCAAGTTAGCCCTTCTTATTTAATTTTTATATTTAATTGTAAAACAACCAATATAAAAGTACAACATAACATTTGTCTCCCATTTCAAACCAAGCTAATAGAATATTTGAACGTAACAAAGGGACAAAATATGCTAATTAATAAAAAATTGAAGATGAGTGATAAAAAATGATAGGAACATAAATGCGACAAAAGAAAAAATTAGACTCTTGTAATACAATTAAAAATTTGTATAGTAAAAGAGATATAATTGTGACAAAAAAACCAACCTCATCATAAATCTCATATAAAGCAACTGATTTTTATTTAATTTTATGCAATTTGCCCCATTTTAAAGTGATTGCATTGTACAAAAAGCTTATTAATTT